TGCCCATATTCAAATTTGTAACCAAGTCTCTGGACATTCTGCTGTGGCTACTGTCCCTGTGACCCGGGGTGTCCCCATGTTCCCTCAGCCACCTCTCATAGTCTTCAGCTGATGACTAGTTTTATTTACATCACTGTGCTGAGAGTGTTTTTGATGTTAAGAGACTGTCAACATATAATCCCAGCATTCTGGGAGGCCAACGCAGGAGGATAGCTTGAGCCTAGGAGTCTGAGACCAGACTAGGCAGCATAGCAAGAACCCCCTCTCTATTTCTAAGAAAAAGAAAAAAGAAAAAGAGACTGCCAATCTCAAGTGACATTTGCAATAGTGGCTTCCTGAAAATGGTTTTTAAAAATATATATATTTATTTCTGACACATGGCTTTATAAACTGGCAAAATGACCTTCTTCAAGAGGATCTTTGTTACCTTGAGGACATTATGCCAAGTGAGATAAGGCAGTCACAAAAGGACAAATACTGCCCTATTCCACTTATATGAGGTGCTCTCTGAGTTGATTCAGGCTGCGGTAACAAAAATACCATAGACTGGGTGACTTCAAAGAAATTTATTTCTCACAGTTCCGGAAGTTGGGAAGCCCAAGATATTAGCAGGTTTGGTTCCTGATGAGAGCCTGCCTCCTGGTTACGTCCTCACATGGCACAGAGAGAGAGCCAACAAGCTCTCTTGTGTCTCTTTTTATAAGGGCACGAATCCCATTCTGAGGGCTCCACCTTCAAGACCTGATCGCCTCCCAAAGAACCCACCTCCAAATACCATCACACTGGGGATTAGCACTTCAACTTATGCGTTTCTGGGGACCACAAACACACAGTCCACAGCAGGTTCCTAGAATAGTCAAATTTATAGAGACAAAAAGTAGAACAGAAGTTGCAGAGCCTGGCGAAGGGAAAAATGGGGAGTTGCTATTTAATGGGCACAGAGTGCCAACTTGGGAAACTGAAAACATCAGCTTCAGTGGATGGAAGGACTTAATGCTGTCAAACTGTCCACTTAAAAAGAGTTAAATTCTGGGCATAGTGAGTCAAGCATGTAATCCCAGCACTTTGGGAGGCCGAGGTGAGAGGATTACTTGAGCCCAGGAGTTCAAGACCAGCCTGGGCAACATAATGAGACATCATCTCTACCAAAAAAAAAATATATATATATATAATATAAAATATATATATTATATATATATATATATATATATATATATATATATATATATATATATATATAAAATTTGCCAGGCATGGGTGATAATCCCAGCTACTTGGAAGGCTGAGGTGGGAGAATCACCTGAGTCCAGGAGGTCAGGGCTGCAGTGAGCAGTGAGTGTGCCACTGCACTGTAGCCTGGGTGACAGAGTGAGACCCCAGCTCAAAACATAAATAAATAAATATTGAATTTAGTTAATATTTACAAAGATTGGGATACTTGGAATACACACAGAAATAAAAGAAGCCTGAATAAGCATATCTCTCTGTGGGTTTCAAAGACTTCCGACATCTTGGGGCTAGAGGTAAATGGTATCTGTTATCATTTTGAAATTAACCTCCTAAGAAACTAAGACACTTTGGAGGGAAAATATTTTTTAAGATAGATTTCTTCTTTTTGAGTCAGAGTCTCGTGACCACCATGCCTGGCAAATTGTGTTGATATTTTTGTAGAGACAAGATCTTGCTATGTTGCCCAGGCTGGTCCCATACTTCTGGACTTAAGCTATCTTCCCACCTTGGCCTCCCAAAGTGCTGGGATTACAGGACTTTGGGAGGCCAAGGTGGGATGATAGCTACAGCCACAGCAAATGGCAGATTTTTCGATAGAGTTTAATTTGCTTGAGTCTCCAATAAGCTGGGTGACTGTGTCCAAAATATGAATTTCATATTTTCTACAGTCTGTACACAGATTTGGGAGAGAGTTATTATGTCTGTCCCCTAAAGAACATAACTTAAATAACTTCTACAAATACCAATAGCTGTTTAATCTACATAGGGAGGATCCAGGAACTAGCCTCTTCCTCTAGATGTTCACCCTCAAACATGTAGGGTGTCTAGGAACCCAGGGACTGGCCCCTCACTGGCAACAATTTCCTCACTGAGATGGTCTTATTAGATTTGGGAGCTTGGGGAGGACTTTTTAATTTCACCTCATTTCTAAGCTCAACGAGCTGTAAACTTCCAACTCTAGTTCCTGTGTGCAAGAGAGAACATCTTTTCAAATCTCATACACAACTTAGAGAACATCAACTACTTTTCCCAGAAATGGAAGTTGTTTGTGGTACAGAAGGTCGAGATTGCAGATTTTTAAGATGGTCAGCAGTCCCCTGACCCAGAGCAGTGAGAAGTAGCTTTCGAGCCTAGGCAGTGACCCAATGAGATATCTGGTGCATAAAATGATGGGAGTGCCTAAAGCTGGACTGCAACTACTTTGTACTCATTTAATTTAATTCAATTTAACTTTTTTTGAGTAAGGGTCTCATTCTGTCACCCAGGCTGGAGTACAGTGGCATGATCACAGCCACTGCAGCCTCGACCTGCTGGGCTCGGGCAATCCTTTCACCTCAGCCTTCCAAATGGCTGGGATTACAGGTGTGCACCACAATACCCGGCTAACTTTTTTATTTACTATAGAGATGAGGTCTCACCAAGTTGCCCAGACTGGTCGTGGGCTCAGGCAATCCTCTTGCCTCTGCCACACAATTGGGATTACAGATGTAAGCCACGTGTGCCTGGCTAATTTGAAAAAGACATCTCTGTATCACATAGGAGTTAGAAAAAAGAAAGAAAAAATAGAGAAAGAAAGAAAGAAAAAGAAATTTTAAGAAAAGACTTTTCTGAACACAAGCCTACATTTTGCCTAGATCAACATGTATCCTGAACTTCTGAGCTTTTGGCAATATTTACGAGTGGGCTTTTCTTCCAATCCTGCTTTCTCTCTATATGCCTTTCTTATTGTGAGTTGTACAGTATGTACAAGGATTTGCCTTTCAGTGTCAAGATTATCTCCATCAGACCACACACACCAAACCTAAGCTAGGCAAGGTGGCACATGCCTGTCATCCCAGCTACTTGGGAGGCTGAGGAGGGAGGATGTGGGAGCACAGGAGTTTAAGACTAGCCTAGACAACATAGTGAGACTCTATCAAAAACAAAAACAAAAAAGCACACACAAACACCTTCCCCAAACCTATCTTCCCCCTAAGAGATTTAGCACAGTGCTGGGGACATGGTAAACCCTCAGCAGACATGGATGGGTAAGTGCATTTGACTTCTAGAAGTTGTAAATGAAACTGGAGACAAGATAGTCTAGATGGCTGCCCCCAAGGGCTCTACCTCGGCTTTGGCTCACTTTATTAAATAGTGGCATCCAGCTGGGCTCAGTGGCTCAGCCTGTAATCCCAGCACTTTGGGAGGCCGAGGTGAGAGGATTTCCTGAGCCCGCGGGTTCAAGACCCGCCTGGGCAACTTGGTGAGACCTCATCTCTACAATAAATCAAAAATTAGCTGGGCATGGTAGCGCGTGCCTGCAGTTCCAGCTACTTGGAAGGCTGAGGCAGAAGGATGGCCGGAGCCCAGCAGGTCAAGGCTGCGGTGGCCGGGAGTGGCTACTGCACTCCAGTCTGGGCGATAGAGTGAGACTCCAACTCAAAAAATAAATAAATAAATAAAATAGTGGCATCCAGTTCTGAGCTGGTGTGCCACTATTTTGCTTCCATATGATAAGCACCCTAGTCTGTCAAAGAACTGCATTTACTTTTTGATATAGTAAGTGATTATAGTGTGTGAAATACCCAAGGAATCTAAGACTTCTTATGGGATAGGCAGTGAATGGGTTTCCAGGGCAGACAGCCAATATTCCAGGTTTTGTTTTGGTTTTGGTTTTTTACTTTTAGTTGGAGTCTCACTCTGTGGCCCAAGCAGATCCTTCTGCCTCAGCATCCCAAGTAGCTGGGACTACAGGTGCGTACCACCACACGTGGCCATTTTTTTTTTTCTGTAGAGATGAGGTCTCACTATGTTGCCCAGGCTGGCCTGAAACTCCTAGGCTCACCACCCACCTGGGCTTCCAAAAGTACTGGAATTACAGGCATGAGAAACTGCTCCTGGCATTGTTTTTTAATACCCATTTCCTTCGCTAACTTGTTATCATGACTAGTAGCTGGACTGATCAGAGAAGATTGTCCATGAAGTGCCACATTACCCAAGAGATAAGAAACAGGATGGCGGTTGATAAAAATATGTCAGTTCATGCTGGCTTGTCCTTCCTGAGAATAGCAAGATGAAAGAGCTGTTGTAGAAATTCTTAAGCCCTACATTTTAGGGGTGGAGCAAATAACTCTTCCAAATCCAAATACAGACAAAGGAAAAAGCAAAATCTACAACATGAAGAAACTCATTTAGCTTACTGGGACCCCAAATAAATAAAAGCTTATCAAGAAATATATCTAAAAAGAGGATTCTAACTGGGCGCAGTGACTCACACTTGTAATCCCAGCACTTTGGGAGGCAGAAGTAAGAGGATTACCTGAGTTCAGAGGTTCGAGACTAGCCTGAGCAGCATGGTGAGACCTCGTCTCTACAATAAATCAAAAAATCAGTCAGCCATGGTGGCGCATGCCTGTGGTTACAGTTACTTGGAAGGCTGAGGTGGAAGGATCCCCTGAGCCCAGCAGATCGAGGCTGCGGTGACCGTGAGTATGCCATTGCACTACAGCCTGGGCGACAGAGTGAGACTCCGACTCAAAAAAAAAGAAGATTCTGCTTCCAAAGTGTATTAGTTTCTTAGCAGGTTAATTCCAAAACTTACTGCAGAAGACAGGAGATACAGTTTCACTCCAAGTCCTCACCCATTTGTACCTGTGAGTGCCTGGGCCACACCACTGCTTCCCCATGGCCTCTACTGCAGTTAAGAGGTAACTGCGGACAGAATCGAGCCTACCCAATCATTTGGGCTGACCTCCAACCCCTGCCTGGCTGACTTCTTAGTTCAGACTTACGTTTGTGGGCTTTCAGCTTCTTCTCATCCACAGGAATGAGATCCAGGTAGTCAAAGTAGTATTCATAGCTGTAGTAAGGGGCAGAGGCATTGGTCCCATTGACCATGTCTGCAGCCCTGGCCAGCGGGCGTCTGGGCCCTAGGACTTGAAGACTCACAGCAGGAGATTGCCTCACTGATTTCTGCAGAATCATCCAAGTATGTCTGTGGGTCTCCAGCCTCAAGGCCTCCCTGCTTATCAAAGTGTTGGCTGGAGGAAAGGTCGGCAGCGGGGGTGAGGGGGGTGGAAGGGCGGGGGGAGGGCTGGTGCCTGACATCTACAGCATACAGCAGAGGCTGTCATCCTGCCCTTCTTGATAAAACTCCAAAGCAGAGTGGAGAGGCAGGAGAATGGGTGTCCCGGGCAGCTCTAAAATTGTCTCTGTGTAAGGACAGAGAGCTGGGCAGGAATACAGATGCCTGGTAACCCTTGAAAGAGAAGATACCCAATAGGGCTAGGAAGGATGGTTGCTTTTTCCTTTAAATACTTGAAAAGTTAATAAAACCAAAAGGCGAGGCTGACAGTGCCCTTGACTTACATTTAAGCAATTCTTGGTGCCATGAAGCAAGCAACAAACCACTGGCTTAGATTCAATGTCTCAGGGAAGAAGTTGAGTGATGTCAACCCTGAACTTGTAATTTCTGTCACATACTCACAGACAATTCATTAAAACCCAAAGACCCCTCTACTCCAATTGAATCCACCTCTCAGCTTTTGTCTAAGCCCCAAAGAACCAGTCAGCTGCATTTGTCCAGACTGAAGACACTGTTTATCTGGGTCAAGATCCCATGCGGATGGAGAGCTTGGAAAATAGTATCTAACCATTTCCCAAGTGCTCTTGGGTGACACAATGTTGTCGAGCATTCTTGTGGGTTTCCGTAGGGCCTGACTCCAAGTTACACACTCACTCTTCCATGATCCTTAGACACTATCAAGAGGAATATTCTTTTTAATTTCATATTTTTATTTTTTTGTAGAGATTGAGCTCTTCCTATGTTGCCAAGGCTGGTCTCAAACTCCTGGCTTCAAGCAATCCTCCCATCTCAGTCTCCCAAAGTGCTGGAATTACAGGTGTGAGCCACTGTGTCCAGCTAAGAAGAACATTCTGAATATCTGGAATGGGCAGGACCACATGAAAGAGGACCCCTAGAATTTAGTCTTTGGGAATTAGGAAGTCAAAATGTACAGGCTTATTGGGGTCTCTCCCTCCAATATCTGCAAATTTCTTGTGTTCTTGACTCAGGTCTACATTGCCAGAGTAAAGCTGGACATTGATGTGTAGACAGTAAGCCCAGATAACTGAAATCTCTTTGCTGGTTTGATCAGGCTGCCATGACTGAAGCATTCCTTGGGGAGCATTCTGAGGCGGTTCTGTTGATCAGAGGGGGCAGAATGCACTCTTAGGTTTCTAAAGTGAGAGACTCACTTGAAAAGTACAGTTCTGCTTCCTCTACACTCTACGCTTCTGACACCAGACGTGTGAGTTTTTCCAAACCAAGCAATTTCTTCCTTTGTTTTTGTTTTTTTAAAGAGAAGTAGCCTTTATTTCCTTGTTTTACAAATAAAGCTGGTTGAGTTGGTTGCTTTCTGGTGACCAGTCAAAGAGAACAAATCCCATATCCTTGTCCAACTCCTCCAACTCTTCCTTGGCTTCATCCTTGGCCAGAGCTGCAGTGGCTGCAAAAGCAGCAGTGGCAGCAGTCACAAAGGCAGATAGATTAGCCAAGAAGACCTTGACCTTTTCAGCAAGTGGGAAGGTGTCATCAGCCTCCACAGACAAAGCCAGGACTCGTTTGTATCGACTGATAACAGAATGGGGTACTGATGCAACAGTTGGATAACCAATCTGCAGACAAATACTGGCAACATGGTGAACACCCTTCAGGAAATGAGAATGCAGTTTCCTCTGTGAGGTCAAGCACTTCAGGGTTGTAGATGTTGCCATGGTCAAACACCTGCTGGATGATCAGCCCAAAGGAGAACAGGGAGATGTTCAGAGTGTTCAGCAGTGTGGCTTCATTGACTTCCACCTTGTCTTCAGTCTTTTTTTTTTTTTTGAGTTGGAATCTCACTCTGTCGCCCAGGTTGGAGTGCAGTGGCTGCTCCCGGCCACCGCAGCCTCAACCTGCTGGGCTCCGGCGATCCTTCCGCCTCAGCCTTCCAAGTAGCTGGAACTACAGGTGCGAGCTACCACGCCCAGCTAATTTTTGATTTATTGTAGAGATGAGGTCTCGCCAAGTTGCCCAGGTGGGTCTTGAACCCTGAGGCTCAGGCAATCCACTCACCTCAGCCTCCCAAAGCGCAGGATTACAGGCTGAGCCACCAAGCCTGGCTTGTCTCCAGTCTTAATCAGCTGCACATCACTCAGGATTTCAGTGGTGTCTCTGGAGATTTCAGTGGTGATACCTAAAGCCTGGAAGAAGGTCTTCTCAGGTTCCAGACCGGTGTTCTGGGCTGGCACACAGTGACTTCACATGGCACAACGGCACCAGCATAGGCAGCAGCTGGCACCTTGTTAGCCAGCAGCATGTCCCTGATCTCAGTGAGGTCCTCCATGGTGAACACAAAGTCTACGTTTCCCTGAACATGAGGCAACAGTTTCTCCAGAGCTGGGTTGTTTTCCAGATGCCCTCAGATGGCCTTGAACATCATGGTGTTCTTGGCCATCAGCACCACAGATTTCCCTCGGAGGGACATGCGGATCTGCTGCATCTGCTTGGAGCCCACATTGTCTGTGCCCACAATGAAGCATCGCCCTGTCTTCCCTGGGCATCACGGCAGTGCATCAGGGATTGTCATGCATGGTTTAAAGACAATGTCACTCACACGTGGATGCCTGGCAAGAGCACCGAGCGATTTCTCACTCTAACGCAGACTCTGATTGGGTGTCCTACAATCTAACTCAGTTCTGACACTAACTGCCCAGAGTTGTCACAGACCCTACAGGTTAAGAGCTCAGTCCCACAAGACTGCCCCCACTTCAGATGCCAGTCACACATCTGTATTTCTGATTGACAGGCTAGAAACCTAGAGATCCCACAACCCCGTCCTCAGGTCATTTGCTGGAGTGACTCACAGAACTCAGAAAAATGATTTACTTTCTAGGTTACATGTTCATCATAAAGAGATACGACTCAGGAGCAGCCAGACGGAAGACATAGGGTGAGGGATGAGCAAGGGACACAGATTTTTCCAGGCCCTCTCCAGGGACACACACCCTAGCACCTTAATGTTCAGTAACTTGGACATTCTCTGAACTCCCCCTTATTTAGGGTTCTTATGAAGGTGCCATGGTACAGGCCTGACTGATTAAGTCCTGACCACTGTAGAGGTTCCATGATGGGTGTGACTTAGTCACTGGCTGTTGTGGAGGTTCCATGACATAGGTGTGATTAAGTCATTGGCCACTGTGAAGAGTCCATGACACAAGCATGATGAAGTCACTGGCTGTTGTGATTGGACTCAATTCCCAACCCATCTCTTCTCTCCAGAGGTTCCGGGTGGGGAGGAAATTTCTGACCCTCTAATCACACAGTTTCCTCTGACAACCAGTCTCTATTCTCCAAGTGCCGCCTCATCAGCATAAACTCAGGTATAGTTGAAAGTGGGTTATTACAATAATAAAGATGCTCTTCTTACCCCTCAGAAGTTCCAAGGGTTATTGGAGTCTTGTGCCAGGTACCAAGGACAAAGACCCAAAACCATGTTTCGGTCAGTGATGGGCTGCATATATGACATAAGACTGTCATAGAGCTGAAAAATTCCTATTTCCTAGTGATGGCGAAGCAATAACAATATTGTAACACATTTTAAAAACAGATATTATGTAGCCTAAATGCACAGTGTTCACAAAGTCTACAGTAGTAGACAGGAATGTCTTGGCCTTCACGACTCACTGACTCACAGAGCAACTTCCAGTCCTGCAAGCTGTACTCATGTTGAGTGCCCTATACAGGTGTATAATTTAAAAATCTTTTATAATGTCCTTTAAAACCCTTTTTTGACTTGGTCTCACTCTGTGGCTCAGACTGGAGTGCATGCTCACGGCTACCACAGCCTCCACCTGCTGGACTCAGGCAATCCTTTCTCCTCAGCCTTCCAAGTGGCTGGAACTATAGGTGTGTGCCACCATGCCTGGCTAATTTTTTGATTAATTGTTGAGATGAAGTCTTATCATGTTGCCCAGGCTGGTCTTCAATTCCTGGACTCAAGCAATCCTCTGGCTTTGGCCTCCCAAAGTGCTCGGTTTATAGGCATGAACCAACGTGCCCAGCCTCTAGTGTACTTTTACTATATATTTTCTATGTTTAAATACACAAATTCTTACCCTTGTGTTACAACTGTATTCAGTGCAGTCATATGCTGTACAGGCTGACAGTCTGGGAGCAATGAGCTAGACCACTTAGCCTAGGTGTGGAGTGGGCCATGCCATCTGGGCTTGTGTAATCACACTTCGCAAAGTTTACCCAATGACAAAATTGCCTATGACAAATACTCCTGTTGTTAAGTGACACATGACTGTATCTGTTTCTTATTTTACCACAATTTCACAAAAAGACACTCTTACACCCTGCATACACTGCATTCTTCCAGATGTTTCGGTATACACTGCTGTGTACACCCTCCTAGATGTGTACAGCACTATATAAACAACGCTATTATTCTAGGCTGATCCATGACCTCCCAACATTTATCTGTTGATGCCCTCACCCTCAGTACCTTCGAATGTGACTGGATGTGATTTGGAGACAGAGTCTTTACAGAGGTGATAAAGTTAAAAGGCCAAGAGCAAGGGGCCTACTTCCATGAGACTTGTGTCTTTATAAGAAGAGAAGATTAGGACACACAAAGGAACACAGGGAAGACACTGTGAGGACACCTGGAGAAGATAGCCATCTACCAGTCACAAGAGACCTCAGATGAAATCAACCCCACTACACCTTGATCTTGGATTTCTAGCCTCTGGAACTGTGAGAAATTAAATTTCTGTTCTTGAAGACTCCCATTCTGTGGTACATTGGGCTACCTTGGCCGCACAAGTAAATACCACTATCCCTCATTTTAGAT